CTCAGAGCCAGTGTTTCCCCGGCTGACTTTCTGCCATTTTCCAAGAGAGTTACAATCACCTCTAATCTTCCAGATGCACCTAAACGGTTGATCATATGTCTAAGTGCTTCCAAACCTCCTTCGGGAAGGATGGGGCTTCCGCAATGTTCCTGTTCCAAGTGGAACGAGTACGTTTAACCAGTGTTATCCAATCTCACTGAGTGGGTAGTGCTACGACAACAGTGACTGGCCTTCTTGTTTCTAGTTATACTTGCGCTCCGATCAGCAGCAGCTGGATGCAATGATCGCATGGCAATGTGCATTGTCTCTTTTAGTTTACACTCGAAGTGGATTGGTCTCTCTAAGCGAGATCCCAATTCGTCTGTCATCCTTCCGGGAACGAGAGTTACATACGTAACCGAGATGTTACATGCATAACCTGAGACGTTTTAGCATAGCAAAATGCTAAACTACAATGTGCAGCCAATGTGCAGAATTCACATCATATTTTAAAGTTGTGTTGAAGCAGAAATATTTTCAGCAAATAAATTAATTTGTTTTTTTTGTTTTTTCTCACAAAATTTGTGGACTGATTTTATTGTACATAAAAACATTTGTGTGTAATGTCAAAAACTGGTTGACAGGGAAAAGGTGCATAATAATAAATAAAATATTGGTACTGTATATTTTAAACAGTGAAGTGTAGAAGGACTTCAAGCTAGAGCAGAGCATTAGCATTCATCATTCACTAGGTGATTTCCAGAGACACAGCCATTATGCCGCAGATTGATATTTCATATTTGACTCGTTATTCACAAAATGTCGTCACCCGCGCAGTTTATTTACTTGAGGGCCTGAACCAAGCCCTTTGAAAAGACATTGATATGGTTCACAGAACAATGGCGAGCTCTCGCTGTATGCTGAGTCTTGGATGTGTTGGATTAGCACATCTTTAATTGATGTGTTCAGGCTCACCATCAAAGCGTTTGACATTCACAAGTGATCTGTTTCATTACAACTGAGAATCTCCCCGATTCATTTGGGACTCTCTGACATTTTGATGTAATTCAGTGTAATTTAGTGTTGCTTCTTTCTCTGAACCGACATAACAAAGGATGTCATTTAACTGGAAAAATATGGAGATTTAAATTATTTATTGGATACATGTTTAAAGCTTCTGTGTGTTTTTGAAGCTGTATGGTAGGGGGGAGGGAGAGCTTTGTGGCTCAGCCAAATATTGTGCAGGTTGTAAAATTAGCCTGTGTTGTAAACTGCCACATAAAAGGCATTGAGCAGTTAGAGGACCCTATCATACACCTGGTGCAATGCGGCGCCAGGCGCGACACAATTGATTTTTGCTAGTTTCAGCCCAACACTGTTATCATTTTCACATCCTGCGCCACGTTGTTTAAATAGCAAATGCATTTGGGCCCATTTGGGCGTGCTGGTCTGAAAACGAGGTGTGTTCAGGCGCATTGTTGGCGCGTTGCTAGTTAGCTTTAATACGCTGGGCTTCATTCATGAAACACGAGCAAAACTAATTTATGTGTGAATCATTTTTAGAAACATCTTTAAATAATTAATTAGTGGATTATCTATTATTTAAATAAAGGTAAAATGCCCCGGAAAATCCTCTCTAATGGGCAAATATTGTCCCTTAAAGTTCATCAAGTCAACATGCCATTTGAAATCCATGTAACATTTCTAAATGAAATACACTGTTAAATAAAGGTTATTTATTGGCATCTATAGCCACTTTTCTTAGCATGCTAAACACGCTATTTGAGTGAATTAACAGCAATATCTGATCATCCTCCGTAACGAGGTCACAATTTACATCTCAAACCATATGTAAACACTTGTTGTTCTTTAAGAACTATTAACTTATAGGTTCTTTTGGGAAACAAAAAATATGACTCTTCTGTGGAATCATATGAAACCCTGCTTTTGAGACTCTTGTTTTTAAGAGTGCTGAATATTCAAACCAGAGAAAAAATGTTTTAGAGCGGGACATGATTTAATCCATAAGGTACAGACTGGATTTTAAAAAGTGAGCATTGCTAACAAGAATGGAGTCAAGAGTTATTGATTTTAATGTTTTGATTTTATTGTTTGGAATAATGTGTACTGATGAATAATTCACCATAAGACCAGGAACCTGCAATTAATGCATAGTTCAGCCAAAAAATTATAATAATCAGTAATTTACTCATCTAATCATTTACTCGCCCTCATATCCATTCCAAACCCATAAGAACTTTTGTTCATCTTCAGAACACGAGTAAAAATATTTTAATGAAACCTGAGAAAACTCAGTCCCTCCACTGAAAGTCCATTCACCCAAAACATTAATGCATAAAAAAATTCAAATTTTCTTGTTTGATGTGTGAGAACCAATGAGTTTTGTTCTTGTGCATTAAGCAATATGATTTAACTTCTGTTTACTATGTTTAATGAGCTCTATATATGTTTGATGTGTAAGGTAAACAGGTCAATAATAATTTAGCTCAAAGGGAATCATTTAAGATTTTAAAGGGAACTCCACCATTGATATGCAAGGGAATTAGGACAGAATCACTGTTTTACGGTTGATCACTGAGACGGCCTGCGATTCAGTGAACGAGCCGTATGACAGCAATTCTGCAATGGATATCAATATCCAAAATATAGTGAAAACACTATTAATTAGCATAGTAACAAGATCGGCAGTTTAAGACATTAACTTGTGAGCACAAAACACAAGATACTTCTCTTTTCCATATAAATAAGGCTTTATTGGATAAATCTAAGACATATAAACTAATCTAACACACGCATTCACACACAAGTTGCAGAAAGAGAGAAAGTGAGGAAAATAATTAGTTTAAGAGAATGAAAATGTGAAATCCCAAGTTTACAGCAATATGTGCAATTGTATAGATCTGAACAACCATCAATCACTTAATTAACCCTCGCACTGAGTTCCTCAATGAGGTTAAAATTTAGATTAACTGCACCAGTTCAGTTTAGAATCCGGAGGTACTTGCTTTCTGTGTTGCGGGGTTCCCTTTCTTGTCTGGTTGCTGAAAGGGGTTTCCCGAGGTTGCTGATTGGCTGGAAGTCCAGTCTTGGGAAGCCAGTGGTTGGGCGTTGGCTGGCGACGCGGAGCTGTAGTCTGCAGTTGAAGGGTAGACAGCACTCATGCGGCGTTAGGCTTAACTCAGAACACGAAACTCTCAACGGAAAATAAAACAAACTAAAGAAATAGAAATAGATGTAAAGTTTGATGAGACCAGGTGGCGTTTCTTCTCATGGTTTTGGAGGAGCTGGCGTGTAAGCCAGACCACGCTCAAAACTAAAGAAGCATGACTAGGAGTGAAAAGCTAAAAGCCGCATGGCTAAAAGCTAGACACAAAAAGTCAGACCCGCAAAAAGGCAAAAGGCAAAAGACCAAAAAGCGCCCAGTTTGATGGTGTCCTGAGTATTTAAACCAGGCTGTTTAACACACCCAAATGGTGTTTCGACCAATTGTAGCTCGGGGTGTTGCAATGTTTCTCCTTCCCATTCATAAATCAACTGTTATCTCATCATTCACATGACCTGCGTTTTTCCCGCTCTGGTAGAGTATGATTTTGGACATGATTTCTATCACGAGGATATGATACATTTGACCAAGAATTGACTGGGAGAAACGTTTCAAGCATGAAAATTCAAACTCACACATACCAAGCATGAATATGACCCCTTAAGCTCTTCAGTAGTTATTAACAATACATACACAATAAATGATTAAGACATGATGGTTAAACATGTGGGTTACATACATAATATGGAGTGATTATAGCAATTATTAGCTGGTCACCAGTCCTTTTAGTGTCATTTAGGTGCATGGAAAGGCAGTTTCCGTGCCATTCTGTGAATGTATGAAGACCAGAGATTAAAATGTCTGTAAGGAATTTTAGTCTCTCTGTTCTTGTCGTAAAGTGGGGGAAGTCAATTTACGAGGAGCTTGTGACTGTAGTTACTATCGTGTGATAGTCATGCGGTCATCTCTTTTGACCATTATTCTTGATAACTTGCCCCAAAATTTTACAATCTCCTTGAACTTGTCAATGTGTTCTTTTGTGTTAATGTTGAAAACTGTTCTGTGACAGGGTCTTAGGTTTAGGCTTGCTTCAGAGAGGCTGGGGTCTGATTTATGACATCCTGTTGTTTTGGGCCTCAGTGGAATTTTTGTGACTCCTCGTGCCTCAACTCGGTTTTGACCAAATCTTAGATTGTCTGATTCGGTCTGATATCCTACAGATGTTATGGGTTTGGAATGACATGAAGGTGAGTAATTGATGACAGCATTTTCATTTTGGGTGAGCTATTCCTTTAAGAATGCTCAATTTTGACTTCATGTTGGCTTAAATAATAATAAAATAAATGCTGGTTCTGATACTTTGAAAGCTCAAAGGATTATTAGTATAAGAGCTAAAAGTTCAGATGTCAGTGTCTCTGTTCCAGCACTGCTGTGTTGACTCTTTAACATAATATGCTTTTAGCATTCAGTTTCCACACAGTTAATTGGGTACATGATTGAATTTTAAACTTGAATTTAGTTGCATTTTACTTATTTTTAACTAGCACCAGCAGAGCAAGAGAAAATGATGCAAAACTTGCCTAAGATGTCAGCATCTAAGCTGACCTGAAAATAGCACATTTTTTCACATTACTCAGGAAGTATGAGTTGTGCCGGAGTCAAATAATTGGCCAGACTACATCTTCAGGGCTGATAATTCTCAAGCAAAAGTCTTCATAAATTACCTGCTGCACGGCCGTTTACCCTTCCCTCATTTCTCAGAGCTCAGCTGGCTGTGTGTTATTAGGATCCTTTTCCAATTTCCGATCCCGTTGCAGAGAAATATTTTTGTCCTTAAGCAAACTCGGATATTTTGAGCGATATTTTAAGAATTAGTGTAAACAGTGTGACTTTTAAACATTATCTGCCTGGAAATGGATCTAGAGCTCATAATAATTTATTTTTTTTTCGTCCTCAGCCCGTCTCTGAAGAATTCCAAAATGGAGAAGGTTTTGGCTACATCGTGGCGTTCCGAGCCAATGGCACACGTGGGTGGAAAGAGAAGATGGTTACCTCGGCAGACTCCACGACCTATAAATACAGAGACGAGACCTTCCCCCCTCTCACCCCGTTTGAGGTGCGGGTGGGGGTGTATAACAACAAAGGAGACGGGCCCTTCAGCGAGGTGGTTACTGTGTTCTCTGCAGAGGGAGGTGAGGGTCAGATGTGTTCTTGCTCTGATTGATGGGATTTATTGCTAGCTTATATAACTTCAATAACACGTGGCTCAATAGCATAGACAGAGTTTCTCAAACTTTGAAGTACATCACACAACAGCTAATCCTGGGCTGTTGATGGATGTACTGTACGATATGTGTCCATATTTTGAGATACGGGTACTACAGTACAACAGTTCAAAAGTCAAAATCCAACTGTCAAAAGACATTACACACAATGAGAGCAAACATTATAAACCTTTGTCAAAAAGAAATACATTTGAATACAACTTTTTTTGAGAATACTTATTAGGAAAATAAAAAGAATAAAAGAATATACTTAAGTGTGAACTGAATATAATGTTTATAGTTATCTGAACACGTATTATAGTTTAAATTTACAGTATATTAAATGCAATTAGTTGGACTTTAGAATGATTTTTTTGGCCCACATAAGTAGGAATTAAGTGCAGTTTTATATGTAATTTCACAGTTAAAATGTAGAAAATGTATTATAGTTTAAATTGATATTCAATTTAATTAGTGAACATTACAGTGCTTTTCTGGCCCACATAAGTACATTTTATATGTAATTTCACAGTTATTTATAGTTAACCGAAAATGTATTATAGTTTAATTTTATATTAAATGCAATTAGTTGAACATTAGAGTGCTTTTTTTTTGGCCTACATAAGTAGGTATTATTTCGGGGGGTTTTATTTTTTTAATATGGCTAAAGTGTACTTACAAATGTCTGACAAGCATTTATAGTAAACTAAAACTTTTAATATATAATAATAAATTATTTAATAATGTTATTTAATTATTTATTATTATTGAATACTAAATAATAAATACTTGAATAATATTTCTAGTGAAACTTGTATGTCATGTATTTAAATATATTCATGATAAAAATATATTCTCTTTAAAGGTAATATCAAATAACACAGTTAAAATTATAATCCAGTATTTTACATGTGCTGTAGTATGCGAGTAAGCAAAGCAATTGTGTTAAAACATGACAAAAAAAATTCATAAAACTATTATTTAAAATGTACTTTGTAATAATGTCAAATTAAAGGTTTTATTTTAAAATGCACTTATTAAATGTACTTAGGTTTGTTTAGAAACAGCCATGAAAGTGTACTTTCTTTAACTACACTTAAGTGGCTTTCATTTAATTAATATTATATTATTTTATTTATTTATTTTTTTACTTTTAAGAGTTGAAGTACACTACAAGTGCACATTCAATACACATAAGCACACTTCGTTTACACAAGTCTATGCATTTCAATTTTATCTTGATTTTATGATTAACCAAGTCACTTTTTCTTTGTGATTGGTTAAAAAAAAGAGTGGTTCCGTAAAATAGGAAACAAAATTGTTCAAAGTCATATTCTAAACCTTGATGGTTTTCTTCTGTGGAACACAAAAAGAGATATTTTGAAGATGTTGTTTCATAAAATGACAGTAGATGGTGACTAGGGGCTTTCAAGCTCAGAGCTCAAATATAATAAAAGTTGTCTGTATGACGTGTGCTATACTTTTTTAAGCTGATCAACCATTTTGATGGGATCATAGAGTGAGTTGAACTTGATAACCGAATGAGTCACATTTGTGAACCGGATCAACTGATTTTACTTAAAATGATACATTAGTCATATAGCCTGCTTTTATTGTGCTTTTGGCAGAATTTCTCATTTTTTGTTGCACTTGATGGGTAAATGTCATCATTTAAATTTTTAGTGTGAACTATCCATTCAAATAGCTTAATCTCAGTTGTTATGTGTGTGTTTATAAAAATAAAAACTTTGAGAACCTTTTTGACCTTTAAAAAATAATAATAATTTCACTGCCCACAGAGAAATGATGAGGAGGACCAAACAGTTTCAGTGTGTGATCACACTGTGTCAGGCTGATTTTATGGTAACCGTGCGAGTGGCGTTTGCTGTGACTGCTGCTAATATGATGGATGTCCTGTGTCTCTGTCACCTCTCAGTCTCACAGTGTTTCTCTCAGCAGGATTCTCCCTCACGATCACAGGGCTTCACAACTTACCATTTACATCCGCTTAGATTCTTCGCTCTGACTATTAACACATAAGAGATACTGATGAAATGTATCCCAAAAACTTCGTCAAGCAGGCGTATAGAGCGTATGACTGGTGATGTGCTGTATGTGTTATTTGCTGTGAAATCTAAAGTGTACTGTTTTTAAATGCAGAACCCAGGGAGCCTCCTTCAGAAGTGCAGGCGTTTGCCATCTCCTCCTCTGAAATTAAAGTGATGTGGAAGCCTCCCAATCCTGGCCCTGGAAGACCCCAAGGATATGAGGTAAGAGAAGGAGAAATGAATGGATAAATGGTTTTGTGCCAAGACCTAGTGAGCTGCCTACCTAGACAGCATCATGTGGTAGAAAAAGTGAGAGAAATAATAATTGTGTATATACACTTTTAATTAATGCAATATTGAAAAATACAGAATACACTAGCATTCAAAAGTATAGGGTGGGTAAGGTTTTTTTTTTTTTTTTTTTTTTGAAAGTAGTCTCTTATGCTCTCCAAGGCTGCATTTATTTGATCAAAAATAAAGTAAAAACACTAATATTGTTAAATGTTATTACAACGTCAAATAATTGTTTTCTATTTCAATATATTTCAAAATCTATTTGATATATATTAAATCATTTTATATATTTACTCCAGTCTTCAGTGTCACATGATCCTTCAGAAATAATTCTATGCTGATTTAGTGCTTGAGGAACCCTTCTTATTATTATCAATTTTGACAAAGTTAACAGTTTTGTGGAAACCGTGATGCATTTTTTTCAGGATTATTTGATAAATATAAAGTTTAAAAGATCAGAATTTATTTTAAAGAACTGTTTGTAACAGAATAAATGTCTGTTCTGTTCCTTTTGATCAATTAAACGCATCCTTGCTGAAGGAAAGAGTTAATTTATTTTAAATACTGACCAAACTTGTGTAGTACCAGGGTTATTGTAGTTAATTAAAACTGAAACTATAATCAATTAAGCTAATTGCTAAGGCAACATTTCTAATTTCAGTTTAGTTTAACAATCTGCTAAAATAACAAACTAAAACCGAAATAAAAATGTATACAAAAACTATGTACATATTAAAAAAATATATATAAAAATTATTAAAGCTTTAATCAAAATCAACATGGGATATCTGAAAATAAAAACTGATTCAAATAATTAATAAAAAAATATAATAGTATCTCAGTGATACTAAAATAACGGTACAATCTAATGAAAAATTGACCCTCTAACACTAGCATTCTCTATTCTTTTCTCTTCTATTTACTTATTTTCTTTTTATTTATTATTTAAAAAACAACAACAACTTAATACATGTACTGCATTAGACTAACCAAGACAACAATTACATATTATTGCTTTTTTGTTGGTTTTGATTGCTCCTGTTGTCCTCATTTGTAAGTCGATTTGGATAAAAGCATCTGCTAAATTACTAACTGTAAATGTAAAAACAAACCATGTTCCTCAATACAGTAAATGTGTGTGCTATGTTATTTTAAGACCATTAAAGTATAATTCAGCATTTTTGCTAAAGTTAGCTTAGCAAAATGCTAACAGTAAAATTCAAAGGTCAAGTCTGCTGAGGAGCAGTGTTTGCATGACTATCGCTGTCTATGCAGAAGGTCCCAAACCGTCACTTATGAGGTTTTGTGATGGTTAGGATGCTGTCTGAGAAGGCATCTGCCTATGACAGCAAGGCAGCTCATCAGGTTTTGAAACAGAGGCATATTTGTGATCGTGAACCCTTTATTTTCTTCATCATTTCCACGACTGTTATGCTATCTGAATGAAGAAAATGATTATCTGCAGTGAAATTACACAGTCGTGTCCTCCAGTGAGAAAGATTATCGTATTTCATCACAGGGAGATATTATTACTTGCTTCCCTATTATGCCCTTCATGCAAAATGTATGACGGTTATTTAAACCAAATGACACAATATCACATGAAATTGGCAACTCTCACTTTGTCATTTACTGAGGCAACTCAGTCTCATTTTCTTTATCACTACAAAAACGCTTGAATGAATGAAAGGCAGAAAGTTAGGCAGATTGTCTTGTTGGGAACAGGTGAGCTCCTGGAAGGACATGGAGCAAGAGGAGATGGGGAAGAAGAAGAGGACAAAGGGGAATGAGACGACCATGCTGCTGACAGGGCTGGATGGAAACACACAGTATCTGATCTCTGTGAAGGGATTCAACAGCGTCGGTCAAGGACCAGCCACCTCACCCATCAAGATTAGCACTAAGAAAAATGGTGAGTTCCCTTAAAACAGCTCCTTTGGAAGCATTATAAACTATAAAATTCCCAATGTCAATGACAAATAAGACTGTCCAAGAATTGAATGAGTGAATGAATAAAAGCACAAACTGAAAGCTCTTAGAAATGTACGCTTTGTATTCATCTTGGTTTTATATTTTGAAAAAACGTTGTACCGTTTTTTACAAAAGTGACTGAAAACATAAAAAGTAAAAAGTTATAAAAAAAGTTATACCTTAAAGTGCCCCTATTATGCCATTTCCAATATTGCCGTTCATGCAGTGTGTAATGTAGCTGGATGTGAATGTAAACGATCTGCAAAGTTGTAAAGCTGCACGATAAATAAAGTTATTGTCTCCCAAAATAAAGAATCGACTCTGAACAGCTGAAACGAGTCGTTAGTAACTCGAATCCCACTTCTGTGATGGCTACACGTCACGGGGTAACACATTTATAATGCGCACCTATGTTCTACGTTGGCCAGCCCCGAACAACTTGACCCCGCCCACAAACACGTCATTCTACTGATGACTGCTTCTCTAATCTCGGGAGTTCAACGCGGGATTCACAAAACGCTTGCTGTTTTGTATCCTGTTTATTTGGACCAGCTGCTCCACTGAATCACAACCTGAAAGTATGATAAATAACAAATGTTTATATTTCTATATAGCGTTCAAAATACAGAACTATTGAAATAGGAGTATCGTTTCCGAAACGCTCTGTGCGCCATAGACCAATCACAACAGACTAGGCCATCTGACCAATCAGAGCAGAGCAGGCTCACGGAAAGGAGGGACTGAATCTTTGAACTGCTTCGAACGAATCGTTTGAGAATCGCTAGAAATATAGGTGATATTAAATGCATATTTTGAGAAAACGAAAGCGTTTTTTTGACCTTGCATGCATGTAATCCTATTGTAGGAGACTCCCAAAACAATATTAGGAACCGTAAAAATTGCATAATAGGGGCACTTTAAATACATCTGACTGTACACACTTAATCTGTATTTTCTGTAGATTTTTTAAATATTTTAACAATAAAATATTTTTACAAATATCATGAATAATTCATTCATAAATATATATTTTTGGTGAAAATACACCACATATTTTACTGAACTAACTTTGACTTTGTAAGGGAAACAGTGATAATAATTTAGCTCAAAGGGAATCATTTAAGATTTTAAAGGGAACTCCACCATTAATATGCAAGGGAATTAGGACAGAATCACTGTTTTACGGCGGATCACTGAGACGGCCTGCGAGGCAGTGAACGAGCCGTATGACAGCAATTCTGCAATGGATATCTATATCCAAAATATAGTGAAAACACTATTAATTAGCATAGTAACAAGATCGGCAGTTTAAGACATTAACTTGTGAGCACAAAACACAAGATACTTCTCTTTTCCATATAAATAAGGCTTTATTGGATAAATCTAAGACATATAAACTAATCTAACACATGAACACACGCATTCACACAAGTTTTCAGAAAGAGAGAGAGAGGAAATAATTAAAGAGAATGAAAATGTGAAATCCCAAGTTTACAGCAATGTAACGTTTATTATTATTTATTAGCTCAAAAAAGGGGAATATTTATGACGAATCATAAATGGTTATGATTCATAATCTTTTGACCATTATTCTTGATAACTTGCCCCAAAATTTTACAATCTCCTTGGACTTGTCAATGTGTTCTTTTGTGTTAATGTTGAAAACTGTTCTGTGACAGGGGCTTAGGTTTAGGCTTGCTTCAGAGAGGCTGGGGTCTGATTTATGACATCCTGTTGTCTTGGGCCTCTGTGGAATTTTTGTGACTCCTCGTGCCTCAACTCGGTTTTGACCGAATCTTAGATTGTCTGATTCGGTCTGATATCCTACAACTTCTCTTAAAAAGATTAAATTAGCTGATATTTTAAGAGACGTACTGACCTGGACACACAGTCATCAAGAAGTAATAATGAAAGATTATTACGCCAACTACTCAAGGTTTTCTTAAAAAAAAAAAAAACATTTAAAAATAACTAACTATAAATAAACAAACAATCAAATAAATAATTATTTTAATAAGACTTATTTTCTTCATTATAATTTTTAAATAGTTGTGTCATTCTGACATTTTTGACTGTATACCTCCAAGAAAATACTGAAATTAATTTTCATTTAGAAATTTAAAGCAGGTTAATCATAGGAGAGGTGTTTTCAAGTCATTTTACGGATATGGATAGAATATATATATTCCATGGTCTGTCTGAATACTGGATTCTGATTGGCTGGCAGGTATGCATTAAAAACTTTTACTGCACAGGTAGTTCCAAGTCAGTTTAATCACTGTTCCATATTAATGCGCTGCTTTAATTGATGCACACAAACACACACACACACACATCACTCACACACACACACACACAGAGAGAGAGGGAGAGATAGAGGTCTGAGATTGCAGATTGTGCTGCGCACACACATAAACGTGTTGTCAACGCTTCCCCGTGATTTTTACTAATAAAATAGCCTACACTCTTAAAAATAAAGGTGCTTCACGATGCCATAGAAGAACCTTTTTGTCTAAATGGTTCCATAAAGAACCTTTAACATCTGAAGAACCTTTCTGTTTCACAAAAGGTTCTTTGTTGCAAAAGAAGGTTCTTCAGATTACAAAAAGGTAGGAAAGAGATGGTTCTTTAAAGAACCTTTGACTGAATGGTTCTTTGTGGAACCAAAAATGGTTCTTCTATGGCATCGCTTGAAGAACCTTTTGAAGCACCTTTATTTTTAAGAGTGTAGATACTAGATCGCTACATTATATTCCTCAACGAGATGACGCTCTTTTGAAGTAAACGCTCTTTTTGAAGTAATTGTTTGTAGAGAGACATGCAGATGCAGGTAATGCACACACAACTGTCATCTCTCTCTCTCTCTCTCTCTCTCTCTCTCCATCGATAATTAATTGAAATAAATGCTATAATTCATTCAAATAAATGTGATCTTACCACACTATTTCATCTCTGTGTCTGATTTGAAGCGGGCAGAATGCTAGAGCTAACAAACCATAACTGACGAAAATAACTGCCATTTTTACCCTTCCAGTCAAATATTGCGCTGCAAAGAGCAATAGTAGTTGTAACTTGTCTATAACTTGGCAAATGGCCATGGAATAAGCGGGATAATCAACGGCTTGCCGTGCATTAAAGGATTTTAAATGCACTTCGCGGAGGCAACCCGCCGTGCATTTAAAATCCTTTAATGCACGACAAACCGTTGATTATCCCTTACAGTGCCCTCCATAAGTATTGGGACAGTAAAGACAAAATTGCTCTGTTTGCTGTGGAGTCAATAAATATGTAAATATGATTAAAAACTACAAAATGTCACATTTTATTATTGGGTATTTCAACACATAGATGTTTTGCCAGCTAAGAAGATCAGCATTTTTAGAGTTTCATCCCCCTATCTGATGTGAGCATAAGTATTGGAACAGTTGCCTCACAGGTCTTTCTAAGTGGTCAGCTCTGTCCTGTTGCATCAATTGTTCAGATAATAAAAGCAGGGAATGTGTCGTATCAGTTATATCCATTGCTTCTGCATTCTGAGTCTGGCATTCGATGATGACACACACAAACCAGGATGAAGACAAGGGAGCTGACTTAGAGAGAAAAGCAAGCAATTTGGATGCTAAAAGAAAAGAGAAGGTCAATTAGAGCTATACCAAAAACAAAGGGCATGGAGAAATCAAGCATTTGGAAACCACCAGCGACATTAGCAACCCACAACAATCTGATCGGCTGAGAAAACAGCAGTTGATGACAGACAAATCATAAAAGCTGTGAAAATGAACCCTAAAATACCTGTCTGTAAAATCACCAACATCCTCCAGAAAGCTGGGCTGATGCTCTGACATTCTACTGTCTGCAGAAGACTTTGACACAGAATTACAGATGCTTCACAGCAAGTTGCAAACCTCTGACCAGCACCAAAAATAGAAAAGCAAGATTAGAGTTTGCAAAAAAGCACAAAGGTGGGCCAATAGAGTTTTGGAACTGAGTTGTATGGACAGATGAGACAACGATTAACCTTTATCTAAGTGATGGGAAAGCAAAAGTGTGGAGAAAAAAGGGAACAGCAAATGATCCTAAGCATACAGCCTAATCTGTAAAGCATGGTGGAGGTGGTGTAATGGCATGGGATTATTGCAGACAAAAAAAGATGTGTAACCAATACAACGTTATGATTCTTACAGGTTTTGTTTAAATTAACAAAGCTTTTATGAATTTTGAAGCCTAAATACAATTGCCAGAAGTAAAAAGAAAATAGCCCCATTTAGCCACTTGTTTGCCACTGCCGTTTTCGAGAAAAACCCAATTAAAAAACCCACTGACTTCAGGATGATGGGACCTGAAGTGCTCATTTCTGGGTTAATTCTGGCTATCTATTGATATCTTACTGCAAATCCCCCCACTCCATATAACTGCACATTACACATCAAATACAGTTTCTGTAATGTTTGTTGCTGGAAACTTGGCGCATTGTGACCGGTTCACATGCTGTGTCAACATAGTGCTGTCTAGCATATAGGAGAATGATGGATGAATGGAAATTGGTTTTGAGAGGAGGATAATTTGTCTTGTCAATTAATGTGATCATTGCTCATTACAGACCTTCATTTTTAAATGGGTTTTTTATCTTTCTGTTTGGTTATCTGTCTCTCTTTTCAGCCCCAAGTCTACCCCCAGGCAACCTGATGTGGATTCAGGAGGGGAACAATGTTTCTCTATCCTGGGATCCAGTGAAAGCAAGGGACAATGAGTCAGAAGTCATTGGGTACAAGGTTGGTATTGCACAGATACCGTGGATGTAAAGTAAAACACAACGTCGCTGCATGCGTTCAATATTTTTTTTCCATTGCAGGTATTATTGCGTCAAGAGGGACGGGGCCACAGCCAAGTCATGAGGACTCCAAACTCAGCCGTGGTCCTGACACTACCTGAGGGGGGAACATACATCATTGAGGTGCGCGCAGTCAGTGAAGGAGGTGAAGGAGCCGCTAGTGCTCAGGTCAGAGTGCTCACCTCCTCAGGTAAGCGTTCACTGTGTGGTTTTTAAGATTTGAAGATGTGTACATATGGCGGTAGGCTTGACGGCTTAATTCCTCTTTAATTACCTTCCCTCTGCACACCTACACAGCCAATTAGATTTTCCTCCACTCTCAAAAGGAATGACAAATTTAAAGTTTACCATCATTATACTACTAGGACTAGTGGGCTATTTTAGAGCAAACACTATTAAATTAGTTTTCGGTTACTTATTCCCAAGACCTGTATTTTCTTTCTGCTATGTCAGATGTAATTATAGTGCTTGCAGAGTAGCTCTGTATGGCCTTTTACTTCTGGACAACTTTCTGCAGTTCATTCAGCTCAAACCGCTTTAAAGTTGATCAGACTCCTTTCAAACATTGTTTTGTAGATAATTTCAGCCTTAAGCCCCTTTCAAATTGGCACAGATCACAGAGTCTGTTGTTCGCTGTTGTTGCTAGTAGCTGATACTCAATCCTCATACATTCAACTATTTCTTTGAAAACTACATTGATGTCAGTGTGTGCACATTTTCAGTGACATTCTATTTATTTTTGGTTTGTAAACACCAATAAAGTGAAAGATTAAAGATTAATGTAAGGTTTAAATATTTAAGATATGCCACCAGTGGTATTTTAATAAAATTGAGATACCATTTACAGTAGTATAGTATAGTTATATATGGTTTAGTATAGTTTTCATTAATGTATTAATAGTTTTTATCAATATTTATTTTTTCTTAATTTTATTTTTTGTTAAAGGTTTAGTAATTGTGTTCTCTTTCATAGGTTCACTCGACGCTGCGTTGCTATGATGCAATGGGAATGCCCTCTGGGTGTGCAGATTGTCTGAAGCCCATATATAAACACTCCAATTCATTGGGTGATGGCGCGGGTGCCTCTTTGATGCTCTTACGTCGCCATCCTTATACTGACGAACGCACCATCTGCTCCTCAGATTTCTCTGCCTTCACGAAGCGACCATTTTAGCCCTGCTGTTGCGGCTTTTCTGGCCCGATATTCGGACTGTTTTCCGTTGAGCTTTCTTCATTTGCATCGATAGTGGAACACTGTTCTCCTTGCGGTGAAGTGCATGGAATTCCATCGCTGCCAGCCGCCAGCTGCCGTGTTCCTCGCTTCATTACGAGCGACGACCCACATGGCAAGTGTGTTAAGTGTTTGGGTTTTTCCACACACGCGCGAGGTGGTTTACGACGCTTCTAAATGTAAATTCTGTTAAATCTCCATCTCAAAACCCTCCCCATTGGACTCGCGGTTTTTGAGAAGGAGTCATCCATCTTTCCCCGTCACGCTCCGGAAGCGGCCGAGGCCCTCCGTGAATCTGCGGCCTGGGGTTTGGATGTGGAGCTCAAGGTGATGGAGAGCTCGAGGCGGGCCTCACCCTTTCTCTCCCTCTCTTGCCCGACCCCGTGTGCACGGATTCGCCGGTTGAACTCTCGCATGATTATTTATGCTCTAGCCCGGAGGACTCAGAGGATTTCAGGCCTGCTTCAGCCGACGCTCTCCCACCTAGCGGTCAGGAAGCACGGCCTTCCGCGGCCTACTCAGAGCTTGTAGACCTGCTGGCGCGCGCCACAGGGAAGCCCTCTATTGATTGCCCCGATGAGCCCTACAAATCCCAGTAGTCTAAACTCGACGAGCGGTTTCTGAGCGGCCCAAATTCGAGGCCTGCGTGGAGAAAACTGCCCTTTTTCAGCTTTCTATCCTGGGTGAAATCTGCAGATCCTGGAAGCAGCCATTTTCCGCCCGCCTTACTAACGCAAAAAAAAAGCAGCTGCTGACTTCACCAACCTAGTGGTTTCTGTGGAGCACGCGGCTGTTTGTAAATTTTTGTGTCTTGCTTCCAGTCTCATTTGCTTCCAGCTATTTTTAGCTTACAAAACTGCTCGTTTTGCTGCTTATATATTGCAAATTGGTGTCTTACTATATTATTTTTGTGTGTTTCTTATAATAACTCACTGGTTTGTTGTTCAAAAAGATTTTCTGTGTTATTCTTCACAAATTTTGGGAGGCCAGACAGTTTCTGCCCGCTTCTAACACGCTCTCCTCATTCGGTTCTGTCACATCTGCCACCGAGTGCATTTCGGTGTGCAATAATCTTTCAGTCTCACTCTCTTTTGAGGGGGGTGGGAGACTCACCAGTCTTTCTTCCCTTACCAACTATTTATGTGTCACCTGCTGCTCACGTGATAGGAGACACATTCAGTTCTCTCCCAGAGCCAGCAGACCCTGTACCAGTCACAGACCAGGCCCTCACCTCGGTCCTTGTGGGCTTCCTCATCCCACATCAGGACGCCAGAGGTTCTCTTCGCAGTAGATGATGATGTAATCCCCTCTGGACCATCTCGGCACCCCACACAGGTATGTCCTGTAGACTGCAACACTCTGCTTCCTCTATCGCAGTTCTTCCCGAATGGAAGCGTCTACCAGGTGTATCGCCTTGGGTTCTCTGTACATTTCAGTTTGGTTACTCATTTCCGTTTTGGTTACACACCCCCAACCCTGTAGTGAGCAGCGCCTCAGAGAATTCTGTGCTACAGCAGAAACTTATCTTCCCTCCTCCACAAGGGGGTGATAAAGGAGGTTCCTCCAGTGGTCAAGATGTTGACGCTGAAGGCTATTATGTCACAAAATTTGTGCAGGAGACTAGTTTGTCACTGTTGACCTGAAGGATGCCCATTTTCATATTCAGGTCACTCGGCGACACAGGAAGTTCCTCAGGTCCTCCTTTGGGGGAAAGGCTTACCAGTACAAGGTTCTTCCCTTTGGCCTGGCCTTGGCATCAAGGATATTCACAAGTGCATGGATGCTGCTCTGGCCCCGTTGAGGCTCCAGGACATCCATATACTCAATTATCTGGACGATTGGCTCATTTTAGCCCACTCCAGGGAATTAGTGAGTTACCACAGGGATGTTCTTCTTCACTTCTTTCTTGGCCTAAGAAAGAATGCCAAAAAGGAATGTTCTGACCCACTCACAACTGACTGTTTTCTTTGGGGTTCACTTGGATTCCATTCAGGTGCAGGTCCGTCTGGCTCCTGCCCGGATTTCCAGCCTCAACGCATGCTTGGCCCGCTTCAAGCTAGGCCATCATGTGTCTGTGAGCACTTGTCGCAGGCTCTTGGTCCTCATGGCCGCAGCCTCCCCAGTGCTGCCCCTGGGGCTTCCTCATATGAGGCTGTTCCTTTGGGGGACGAAACATTTAAGGATCCGCTCGACAGGACAAGCCTTTCGCTTATTAAAGGTGTCACGCAGTTGCTTCTGCGCCCTTTCAGTGTGGTGGGATCCCCTCTTTCTTCTGAGAGGGATCAGTATAAGCACTGTTACCATTGCCAAATGGTTGCGACGGACACCTCTCTGACGGGCTGGGGTGCGGTCTTCAAGGACAGACCAGCATGTGGAGTTTGGACGGGAGAGTTCCTCTCCTGGCATATAGACAGCCTAGAGCTGAGAGCCGTCTTTCTGGCACTGATTCACTTTCTCCCCTCACTCAGGGGGTGTCACATGATTGCCAGGATGGACAACATGGTGGTAGTATCTCATATAAACAGCCAAGGGGGTTCACAGTCGCGCACCCTGGACAGGCATGCATGTTGTCTTTTCCTTTGGGCCCAAGGCAGGCTCCTCTCCCTGAGAGCGTTTCATGTACTGGGAGCCTTGAACCTCGCAGCCGATTTTCTGTCGAGACAGAAGCTCAGATCGGGGGAATGGATGCTGAACCGCCAAACAGTAGCGCAGATTTGGGACTTGTTAGGCAGGGTGGAGGTGGACCTCTTTGCATCGCAGGAGTCGTCCCAATGCCCAGGAGTTCCCCAGCACCTCTGGGCATAGATGCGTTCGTTCATCCATGGCCGAACATGAGACTGTATGCGTTTCCACTTGTCAAGTTGATTCTGGCAGTCCTGTGCAGGGTGAAGCAGAGTGGTATCCGTCTCCCGCTCGTAGCCCCATTCTGGCTGTCCCAGATGTGGTTCTCGGAGCTGATTTCTCTTCTGGATCGCCCTCCGTGGGAGATTCCAATCAGAGAAGATCTGCTATCTCAGCTTTAGGGCATGATCTGGGACCCTCAACCTGAGATCTGGAAGCTGTGGGTATGGCCCATCAAAGACCACCAGGTTTGACTTCTAATCTTCCTGCCGATGTTCAGGAGACCATTGCTAGTGCCAGAGCCCTTTCCACGAGGAAGCTGTATTCCTCCAAGTGGAAAGTTGTTGAGTCATGTTGTTTAGCCCATGCGGTGGACCCAGAAAATCTTGTTGCGGGAGTGGCTGCTTCTACCCTGAGAGTTTAAGTTGCGGCCATTGCTGCACAGAGAGAGTTGGATGACGTCCCCTTGGGGAGACATCGGTTGGTCTCCGCATTTATGCCTGGGGTTAGGCGGCTGAGGCCAGCACGCCACTTTGGACTTCCTTCTTGGGACTTATCAGTCTCCCTGGAGGGCTTAATGGAAGCTGCTTTTGAGCACTTGGAGTCAGTTCCAGAGCGGGTTTTGGCTCTCAACGTTACTCTTTTGTTGCCGCTAACTTCTTTGAAGCAAGTTGGGGATTTGCAAGCTCTCTCTGTCAATGAGGTGTTTATGGACTTTGCACTGGGTCTTGTCAAAGTCAAAGGATGTGAGACTTCACATGCTCTGCTCTTTCCGAGCTTTGAAGCTCTACGTGGACCGCTCTAGCCATTGGAGAAAATTTCCCCAGCTGTTAATATGCTTTGTTGCTGGCCGATGTGATTCTATACGGGCTTCAGACAATCGGCACTCCCAGAGGGCATTCCCATTGCGTCATAGTTACGCAGCGTCTAATTACCTACTCCGAGAACATGGGTTACGCAAGTAACCCGAGATGTTTTTTATCTTTTTTTATTTTTTAATATGTCTATATTTTTATTTTTATCACAGTACATCAAATTAAACTTAATGAAAAGAATATTTCTGAAATAAAATATTTATTCAGTTTTGCATTTCAGTTTGCATTTATTTCAGATTCAACTAAATAAATAAAATGGTTATAGTTAAATGCCAAGATGTGTCATGACACTCTAGATGGCGCAGGCTGATGTTTTTTTTTACATAAACTGATGATATTCACAGCATTAAACGACTTAGCTCAAGCTGATTGGTCCATGTTGCATACGCAGCCAATGAGCTTACTGCTTTACATTTAAATGGCTGGTTAGCATTCACTTGAGCATTTTGCAGCACACCTTTAAGATGTCCTCTGAATACCCTCCACCTTGCCCAGCTCCACCTGTATAGATCTGCTATGAGTTATTTTATATGCTATTTGTGCAGCAGCTGTATGTCTTAAATACTCAAAGCACCGTATCAGTGTATGTACTGGCAGTAGCAAGTTCCTATATTTACTTGCAGCAGCAGCAACAATAATCTACAACTACAGCAATAACCAACAGCAGAAGCAATTCAGCATCAGCAGCGTAGCAGATCTATTCCGCCAAGACCAAATACATTAACATTGTCATATCCATTACCATGCTAAAATCTCCCGAGAGTTGTCATGATAGAATAATCCTGTTTGCCACTTGGATTTTTTTATATATATATAATCGAAACTGGGGTTTGAAAACCACTGAGAATTTTTTAAGGGGAAAGTGAAAGTCAAAGTGAGGTAACATGTGGCCAAGTATGGTGACCCATACTCAGAATTAGTGCTCTGCATTTATCCCATCCAAAGTGCACACACACAGCAGTGAACACACACCCAGAGCAGTGGGCAGCCATTTTTTTAGCTGCGGCACCCGTTGAGCAGTTGGGGGTTCGGTGCCTTGCTCAAGGGCACCTCAGTCGTGGTATTGAAGGTGGATTCACTCCCCCCACCTACAATCCCTGTGGGTACGAGACTCGAACCCGCAACCTTTGGGTTACGAGTCCAACTCTCTAACCATTAGGCCACAACTTCCACGAAAGTTGGGGATTCATGAGTTCATGAAGCATAGAAATCATTTAAATAAAAATAAAAATATACAAAGAAAAACAATAAAATAACAATTAAAATTAAATAATCAAAAATATATTTTATTTTATAAATATTTTATTTGTTTATCTGGATGTTTATCTAGGTTACAGGGTTTTTTCTGATCTAGCCAAAAGTGTTGTAGTATTTTCATATGCTGATGACCAACCTAAGCTGACAACTTGGTCAGGCTGAGCGACTGACTTAAGCTAGAACCAGTAAACTAGCTTAGTTTTTAATGAATTGCATTTGGTGGTTTTGTTAAGAAACAACTAATTTCACAAAAATAAGTTTGTTAGGTCTTAATTATAAATGTTTTTTTTTCATGGGCCACATGTGAACAGATGTTACAATACATGCAGTACATATCTCAGGATTACTTTCTTTTTTGTCCCTGGGTAAATGTATCTTTGTCTCATTTCTCTCTTTTTTGTTTCACTTCCAGGAGTGCGTGCTAAGAGTGGACAGCTCTCTGTCCAGAATCTGCCTCCAGGCTTGGCATGGACTGCTCTTTTCCTGTCATTAATGGTGCCTTTTTTTCCCTTGTGAGGCTACTGGGTCATGTACTGTTCCTTTAAACCTTCCCTCTGCCTTCCTTCTGAAGACCACTCCCAGCCACCCCTGTATGAAGGGGATGGGCTCTCCCTCCTCCACACAGACTGCCTGCTTTGGCCTGTACCATCAACAGGACCTAAGGGTCAGCCAAAGGGAAGCGCTTCTTTTCCAAGCATCAAGAAATGCCTCCAAAATCCTGACAACTCCATTGTTTTTCTTTTCTGGTCATATTTGTTTCCAGATTTCTGTTTGGGATATCATTGTAGTATTGTGCTGTACAAAGTGTGGAGACAGTTGTTTAAAATCTCCACTAAGCTGTAAGAGACGTTTTTTAGGGACTGCCTTCCGGAACAGCTCTCCAAGCTGCTGAGGCCGCCCACTGCTCTGTACCGCTGTGGCTTCCCTTGTTACATTACTGCATCCATTTGACCCTTTGGCTGCCTGACAAGCAAACGCAGAGTAAGCTCAGTAGAAATAAGTGCATTGTTTTCTTATTCACAAGTGGAGAGTGTGGAGACAACAAAGAAAAAAAAACATTTTTATAGTGCTGAAAATCTTACTATTTCCAGACTTGCTTTTTGTACATTGTGTTACCTTTAGAGAAACAAAAAAATGTGGAGCAGTAGTGTGTTTTGGTCGGCTGCGTCTTAAGTTTTTGAACTTCAGTTTTCATTTTTGTTATGTTCAGTGGGTATTGAGAACTAGCAAGGTTGCTGGGCAACAGGGGGACTGATGGACGAACCAGAGATAAAGGGTTTGGACTCCACTTGTCGTGCCCAAACATTTCTGTAGACAAAGACCAAGGCTGATCTGTAACAGTTGAAATAAATGTGATGTATATTTTTAAAAGGCCTCTGGTGTGTGTGTTCTAGGTGAAGATGAGCGGTGGAAGGTCTCGTAAATTGATTTAGAAAGAGTCACTGTCTCAACAAAGTTTGTTGGACATAGAATTGAGTTGTAAGAAAAAAAAATTCTCAAGAATGATTGTCTTCCCAGAATTCAATGGTACGTGTCTAGATAATTAATTTTATTACACTTGCTGTTAAAGGGTTAGTTCACCCAAAAAAAAAAGTTGGGGTGAATGAAAAGCGCATTTGGGATGAGCTTTATTTGACTTCTTTTGGACTGTTGAAAAAAACACAGTGCCATTATAAAGCTTGGAATAGCCAGGACTATTTTTAATATAACTCCGATTGGATTCGTCTGAAAGAAGAAAGTCATATACACTTAGGATGCCTTGAGGGTGAGCAAAACATAGGCTAATTTTCATTTTTGGGTGAACTAACCCTTTAACATGCATTTGCAGTGAGGATCACACTTGACCACATTAAAGGAATAGCTCACCCTTAAATGAAAATTTGCTTAAAATTTACTCACCCCCCTCAAGCAATCCAAGATGTAGATTTGGATACATTTATGTGAATGGGTGCCTTCAGAAAGAGAGTCCAAACCCAAACTGCTGATACAAAACATTACAATAATCCACAAGTAATCCACACATTCATGTAAAGTCTTGTGAAGTGAAAAGCTGCATGTTTGCAAGAAACAAATTCATCTTTAAGGTGTTTTAATGTTTAACAGTTGCTTCTGGACAAATTGCCCATCCCCAATTGTCCTCTCCCATCAAAATCCTCCAACATATTTGTTTAGAACTGTTTTAGGCTGTTTTTGCTTATAAACAGTGCTTGATCTGTGCATATTTCTCTCCTGATTCAGACAAAGTGGCTTTTTTCACAATAATATGGACAACTTATGGACTTATGGCTTATGGACAACGGTTTGAAGCTAAAAACATCTTAATGATGGATTTGTTTCTTACAAGCATGCAATTTTTCACTACACAAGACATTATTGATGGGCTGGAGTCATGTGGATTACTTGTGGATTATTGTGATATTTTTTATCAATTGTCTGAAATCTAATTCTGACGGCACCCATTCAGTCCAATGAATCCATTGGTGAGCAAGTGATGTAAGGCTGAATTTCTCCAAACCTGTTCCAATGAAGAAACAAACTCATCTAGATCTTGGATGGCCTGAGGCTGAGTACATTTTCTGTAAATTTTCATTTTTTGGTGAACTATTCCTTTAAAGTCAAATGTAAATGTATCCTAAATGCATTGCTATCCCTGAAACAACATTCGGGAGTCAGGAATGGATTCTGACCACAGTAATACTGTATATATATATTACAATGGCCATGCTACAGATAATCGCTATCTATTGCTTTGATGGATTTTCCAATCTGTTTTTATCTATCATTAAAATATTGTAACGCTTGGTGTTTTTAATGTGCCATTGATATCACTAGAACTTCTGTGGCAGGAGCTCTTTTAGTCATCAAGTAATTTGTTGTGGGTTCTTGGCACTTTATTTTTATTCTGCTCTTTAAATGCTAAGAAGAGACAAGACGCCACGCTCTTTCGATCTGGTCACCTGAGTTAATGATCGATATGCCATAAATTATTCCACTGGACTGCTCTTAGAATCTCACCCTCAAATCCTCTCTCACTGTCTATTTTCATAAAGTACTTAAAAACTTTCTCTTTTTTTACACTTTTATTCACTTCCCAACACAGACGATGAACACTATTAACAGCAATTATTATATGTTGTAATCAAACTTATAGCAAAATTTGTTAGTTCTGTCTGTTGCTTCAGGGTTGGCTTCATCTGAGATCCTCTGAGGGGTTGGCATCATCTCTTCTCAGGTGTTCTGGATCCAGACTGAAGCTTGTGTAAAGAGTTTTCCGACCTTAGGGAACGTGATGGATTGTAGCATGATAGAAGACTAGTTAGGTACGCAGGAGCTAACCCATTAAAGGCCTTATAGGTAAGTAATAATATTTTGTAACTGATACGGAACCTTATAGGTAGCCAGTGCAGAGACTGTAAAATTGGGGTAATATGATCATATTTTCTTGACCTGGTAAGGACTCTAGTGACTGCATTTTGGATTACCTGTAGCTTGTTTATTGAGGATGCAGGACAACCACCTAGCAGTGCAACAGAATGCTGTTTTTGTAACATGGGAAATATGATTTTCAAAAGACAAGTTGCTATCCAATATAACACCCAGATTTTTGACTGAAGAGAAAGTAATCCAAGAGATTCTGTGTACTGTTTTTTTTTGGTCCAATAAGTAATATCTCTGTCTTATCCGAATTTAATAGGAGAAAATTATTGGTCATCCAATCTTTTACATTTTTAACACACTCTGTTAGCTTAGATAATTTAGAAGTTTCATCTGGTCTTGATGAGATATATACTTGAGTATCATCAACATAACAGTGGAAACTAATCCTGTATTTTCTAATAACATTACCAAGGGGCAACATGTATATTGAAAATAGCAGAAGACCTAGGACAGAAGCTTGTGGCACTCCATACTTTACTGGTGATAATTGATATGACTCCCCGTTTAAATAAACAAAGTGGTAGCGATTGGACAGGTATGATCTAAACCATCTTAAAGCCTGCCCTTGAATACCCGTATAGTTTTGTGATCGATCTATGAGTATGTCATGATCTATGGTATCGAACGCAGCACTAAGATCAAGTAAAACTAGCAATGAGACACAGCCTTGGTCTGACACAAGAAGCAAGTCATTTGTAATTTTAACAAGTGCAGTTTCTGTGCT